GAATGTCGGTAACCAGACAGTTGATGGACTCCATTGACTTCCATAGTATGAAAAAATCAATGGGGTCCATTAACTGTTTGGTTACCGACATTCTTCAAAATATCTTCTTTTGTGTTCAGCAGAAGAAAGAAATTCATACAGGTTTGAAACAACTTGAGGTTGAGTAAATGATGACAGAATTTTCCATTTAAATTGAACTATTCGTTTAAGTACACAGTGTTGTACCTTTGTCTTTTTCCGATTTTTATATACGTTTTTACTTCAAATAAAAGTTTTTAATGTAATTCATCTCACAGCTGCTTGATTTGGTTCATAACAAAGACTTTTTAAAAATCCCTATAAAAAAAAAAAATGCTTCTACAATCTACCATCTATCTGCACTCTAACTGGCAATTTCCACCAACAGCGGCGGAGTCAATAGGTTTCCAATAAAGTCAATGTTTGTATTTTCACTGACTGCGGAACGGCTGAGTTCCGACTCCGTCCCAGCTCCGGCGATCCGCAGCCCTCCGGAGCAGATACGCAGAGCTTCTATTTTTGCCGGATGCCGGAGAGCTCCGCAGCAATTCAGCACAGGGCAGATTGTTATATCGCGCGATCATATGTGAATTCGAGAGATCTCGTTGGTCCTCGTGACTTCAGCTGTCAGTCATGGCTGCAGCCGTACCGCAACAAATCCGGACCTGGTAGGTATTGAAGGACGGCCAAGCACGGAGCCGACGCACAGCGGAGCCGTTCCGCAGTTGGTGGAAATCCGGGGTTATACACACCTTTCAGAATCTCCATCCTCACGAGTGGCCAACTCACTCACCTCTGAGCTGACCATCAGCTCGGGAACACTGTGCACCATGGAGACGGTCGCTGTAGAGATGGGCACCTGCTGCTTTCCGTTCTTGCTCTGTAGTCTGGAAGGCAGAAAAAAATTTAAGTGCATCTTCAGGACCATCTAGTTAAGCACACTACCAGAAATATCTCTGAGAGCCAAGACAAGATAAAAACAGGAAAAGACAATAATAGCTTCTTCTGAATGTCACCTGACAAACGTCATTTCACTTTTTTAGGGTAAGAGGGGAGAAACAATTCTGTACTGGAGATTAACAGTGCAAAAACAAGATGTAGACTCACTGAGTTAAGTCCTGGCCACATTCTGCACACAAGCCCTTCATTACAATGGGATGACTGCATTCTTCCACTTTTGCTATCACACCCCTGCCAAAAAGACAAAAATGTGTAGAAATAAACAATACAGGTACAATAAATGCACTTTATACACATAGATTATGCTTGTTAACAAGTAAAATAAAAACTCTATACGCATCATTACGGTGAGATTCCACTCAATGGACTGGGAATATGTGTGAAAAGCTTCTCTTCGAATTCCAGTGCAAACTGTTGTTTTTATAAATAAGCTAATTTTAAGTAAAAAAAAACAAAAACATTTGACCAATGTCTAATGCTCGCAGCACCCTCTACTGTTAAAGACGGCAAAAAAGCAATCAAAAACGACATTAATTGTCATTAAATAAGCTGGATTGAAGGACTCGTTGCATTTAAAAATAATAATAATAAAACTCAATAATAGGCATAATTTACATCACACCCATGAACCATCACCTAACTGCTAGTCGGTCATAGGCAGTAGGCTATTGGAAAAGGCCATCTTTAAACTGTGATGTTGAATTTTTGGTTAATGGCCAATTATTTTATACATAAATGCAGTTTTTTTTTAAATCCCCATTCTTAAACATTTCCAAAAGGAACGAGAGCATTTTGTTCTTTTAGAGAATTTTTCTGACTGACAACCGAAGCTCATCAGTCGATCATTAACCGTTAAGATTAGAATGTCAAATTAAAAAATCATCTTCAAAATCCTTAAAACTTACACATAACAAAAAAATACCGTAAGCTGTGTAATCATTTAGCAGTGTATTTGGATGATTAAACCCCTTAAGATTTTTCTGTTCTTTATCTTTATTTATTTATGTATTTATTTAAATAGTAGTTATGTTTTGCTGTTATCAGGATTTGTTGTAATTGTATTAAGTTTTGTGTTTATTGAGGCATGTTTTGTATTTCACTCAGCTATACTTTTAGTATTAATACTTACTTTAAAAGGAAAAAGAAGAACAAAAACATTCTCAAGACACCATTTGAATCTAATAGACATGATGAACTAATATTCACAAAACTAATTTTTATATAAGGGGTCTTTACAACAAGAACTTAAAATTTCCTGCAAAACTTCTGATGGACATGTAAACATTACGGTATCGTGTGGAAAGTGGATTTAACACGTTTCTCTTCCACTACTTACTAGACTTGGCTGAATTATTCCGCCTGCATGCGTTCAACGACACACCCTCTTCCAAAGCCCCGCCCTCTAAATTCGTGTCAGCCAATCCGACGGCAGCAAAGAACGACGCACAAGATGATTGACTGGCAGAGAAAGTTTCTGATTGGCTAAAAAGGGCGGGCCGCTCCCCCAACTCTTGTTTTGCTGTTTACAGAGCTTAGGGCTATCAGAGTTTAATATCTCTCAAGAACGCTGTAGCGTACAGTGGTATATGTCAAATAATACTAACAATTTATGGATGATATTAAAACAGTCACTTCCAACACCTTTACATATCATTAAACGTGTTTATACAGGACGCGTGGAAGTTTAGCTGCTGCTGTCACGAGCCCAGCGTGAGCGCCAGTGCGCGTGCCACTTAGCTTTGCGCGAGCACGCTCAGCTAATGAGCAAAGGCAGCTAATTTAAACGTAAAACGATATGTCAACTGTTAAATCGTGATGTGTGATGGCCAATAGAGCCATGAGAGCGCGACTTACCCGGGCGCGATGACCTGCCCGAGTTGACAGCACAGTTCCCGCACAACTCCAGCGCGGTCCGACTTCAGCTTCCTCTCGGGCGCTCTCGACTCGCTTTCGGCGGGTATAGGCGCACAAACCGCGATGACAGAGTCAACGTTCACCAGAGCTCCGGGTTTCACCTTCCACTCAAGCAGCCGCAGGGGACGCGCTCCAGCGGGGTAGCGGATCTCCGTCACCTGCACCGTGGGGCCCTCTGGTGCCGCACCGCCGGAGTCTACAGACTCCTCCATCACAGCTTCACACTTCAGCCACACACACGCGGCGGACCGCAGCGAGCGCGTATTGACAATTAATAAAAAGAGTAAAAATCTCTCAAATAATCCAGAGACGTGCAGGACGATAAAGCGATGAAAACGAGCTGTAATGCAGGACAGGCTGAAGCGCAGGTTCACTCTTCCCGCCCGTAAACAGGAAACACAAGGCTGCTGCACGAGCGAGATTTCTTCCACTTCCGGGAGACTTTATCACTCTTCATCATAGATATATGACTCTTCATCTAAACCTACATTCATATTAGAGTCTAATCTGTATAATATACTAATAACAATTATATATGTATAATAGTATTGTATATAAATATAAACAATATAATTTTTTTAAATAATGCATTAAGTACACTGAGACTGAGTCATATCAAACTGGTGGTTCAAAGTAAATCTGACTTGAGCATTTGTACCAAACTGTATTTATGTATCCCCTCCCCCTTTTGAGACAGGCAACCCCCTGCTTTGTGATGTAATCTGATGAAATATCACGATCATACCATCTGTCAAGGGATTAAGCAGCGCGTCATCGCAACGTCTAAACATTTTAGTTTGGGGGTATATTTTTACGTTTTTTTACTTGGGTTGAATTTCAAAGCCGGATTTACATCATCACTAAATAATTTATTCAAAATATGATCGAAGAGGAAGGCATCTGTTATATCTTTCCATGTATGCATTTGGCAGACCTTTTTATTCACAGCGGTGCTTTTAAGGTGTAACGTTAGCCTACTTTTAATCAATACAAGTGTTGCCATTTTGCACGGTTCTTATAATCTAAATATTATCAATATTATGAAACACTGGAAAGAATTACTCCAAAGTAAAGAAAATGCTGTGTAGAGCCATCTTTCCAAAAGTAGTTTAACTTACTTGTTATGATGTTAGTGCGTATGTAGTTTTCTTTATATATTTATGTAATTCTGTGTACTGTCCCTTTAAATTAAAGGCATACACTGCACTTCATGTAAAAAAAAATTTTATTTAGCATTTTATTTCTGTATGTTTTTTTTATTTAGTTGTTTATTAAATTTGAATGCTTAAGTTTTTCAAAAAACTGTCACGTGACTGATGATGTCACAGCAGGCTCTTTCCCAACTGTCCAATCAAACTACACGCGAAGTCATCTGTTCAGATTCCATGTCCTCCTTGTCAAGTATTCAGAGTGGAAAATCAATATGTAGGCAAGATCTTTTAGAAGAAATAAATCAATTAATTTTTAGATTAACTCAACAAAATATATATATACAGTTTATTTGGGTTGCAGCGCATGTATTGAGGGAAATGAAAAGGTGGATAAGTTAGTAAATGAAGCCCTGAAGGCAAAGCATATATACAAGTTCCACTTAGTAAATCAGAAATTAAAGTTATTATTTATAGCATTCAGAATGAAGTGATAGTTAAAAAGTACAGTAATCTGAGACGGCAGGAGGAAAATATGGGTTGAGAATAGGGAACGCAAGATTAAATGGCTGCCTAAATATAATAGGAAAACCCCAGCCTGGACTAAGACATTTAATTGTGGAGAAGTGGAAAACATGTACTCTTGACATGTAGAAAGTACTCTGAAAAAAGAAAAGAACTAGAGAGGGCATTCAGGGCAACGAAGAATGGATTGAGTTTAAAAAAAAAACTACTGCGTTTGTATGGCACACAATCTATGATTAAGGAAGTTATGATCTTTCTGAAAGAAACTCAGCTTGCAAATAGAATTTAGAATTATTATTTTTTCTCGTGTAAACTACTGCCCAGTAAGATCCCCATGGTAAGATCACACCTCAGTCCAGAAGATGGCGGTAATGCACCTCGTTTGCAAACTGTCAAAAAAAACTACAGAAGAAGAAGAAGAAGAACTACAGGCGTGCGTGATCTTGAAGCGCGAGGAAGTGTCCGCGAGAGCGAAGTCTGAGTCACTCGTGCGATCATCATCAGCCCGACCGGACCGGACACATGGCGGCAGAGACATTTAGATCGGTAAGCGCAGCATCGTCGTTAGCCGCTCATTTCTGCTGTTGTTCAATCGATCAGTGAGTTGCTTATGTGCTCGAGCTGCCTGATCAGTATGATGCAGTCAGATTCTCTATGAAACAAAAGGTCACTGTATTTCGATTTCACACTTCAGGATTTAATGGACATGCATTTAAATGGAAGATATATTCCATGCCATTATCCAGTCTGGAAGTGCAGGTCTGATCCTGAATCAGCAGTCAAGGCCAGGGGAAATGTCAAAGCATGCCTTGTTCTTTATCACTGTAAGACTTAAATCCCAAACTAAAGACTAATCTCCAAGTATGAGAATAGAAGTATAGGGAAGAGTGCCTGTCCTGCAGTCTGGCACTTGACAACACCCTTGCAAAACATTACCATGGTAACCATAGTTTAAATAACATAGTGTTACCGTTTACTATTGTAACACTCCTTCAAACAGTGCAACAAAAAAAAAAACTTCAGATGCTTCATTATGATGAATTTAACTTTTCATGACAATGGTGACTAATACCATAGACTTAAAGAGAGTTTGCTAATACCAAGTTTTACAATGGTAACACTGGCTGTCGTGCAGTGCTTTTCAACCAGGGGACTGGGCCCCACTAGGGGGCCTCAAGATGACTTACAATGATTTAAAGTCGGCATGCAACCGAAGTTGCAATAGTATTTTCTTCTCTATTGTGACATATATCAGAGTGAAACGGCTTCTCGAACAAGAAAAATGTAGGGCACAACGTTTACTATGGTTTGCTATTGTTGTGATGTCATGTGCGTGTCAGGTTGTTCTGCCCTCATGCCAGCAAACACGACATCAAAGAGAAGAAATGTTGCTGCAAGAGAGAGGGGAAAATCTGGAAAGTAATTTAAATGAATACATTCTCCATAGCCAATTTTTCGTCAATATATCTTTTTCTAGTTATGTCAAGCCCTAAAATATTTTATCGGGTAGAAATTGCCTTTAAAAATTATTTTAAAAATCCTTATCCTTAATTCTTATGCAGTAAATTACAAACAACTGTAAAAATCATGTGATTTTGTAGTGGACAATGGGGGACTTTAGAGTAAAAAAAGGTTTAGAACTACTGCTACACATAACAAAAAAGTACCATGGTACTACTGTGTTTCAGTTAATTTTTTCTTTTACATGTGCCATACCAATCCCACATATTTTGTATATGCAACACAGTAGTACCATGGTGTTTTTTAAGTACTTTGTACTACTATCAATCCTGAAAATGTGCTTTCATTCATGTACTTAGTTACCATGTGATACCATGGCACTGTGATGGTACTTTTGTCAGGGTTACTATAGTATTTAGGCTGGATCTGTTGTTACCTAGAACATTTTTGGAAGGGGATTGATTTAAAGTCTCTTTCTTGGACAGAAGCTCTCTGTTTGGAGCATTGGCTCACAGAGATTTTGCCGACTTGTGCAGTTGTGTGTAAGAGAACGAGGGGCCGTTGTTTAATCATACTCTATAGAGACCTTTAAGCTGGAGCACATCCCTGACCTGTCCACAAATCAACCCGCCTGAGTAAAAACATTTTGTTCCCTGCTTCTATAAACATTCAACAAACAAACAACCCCCTTCTTTCACGTTCCCCGCACGGCCTTGATGGGGAAACTCTTGTGTTTCAGTGTACAAACTGAACTGAATCAGCATTGAACTGAATTTAGCTGAATAACGACACTATTTTCTTCTGTAGAGCTGAATTTGAATTGGCCCCATATTCGATGATAAATTTTGCATCATTGATAATTATTTTCCTGTTTATACTGTGAAGCTGCTTTGAAACAATCTGTATTGTATAGGCGCCATAGCAACAAAGGTGACTTGATTTGAAAACACACCTCACAGATCATCTCTTGAGATATTTTGACATGCTAGCAGGTGTAAAATTGAACATTTCTTTCCACAATTCGCTTTAACCTTCAAAATCTAATAATCTGTGTCCATAGAGACTAGGGCTGTCAACGAATATTCTAAATTCGAATATATATTCGAATAGTTTTAAAAAACAGAAATTCGAAGGTGAAAATTAATATTCGAATCATGTGGAAAAACACGCCCGCGGTAGCAGAGGCGCGGCTCTGCTTTGCGAGTGGCAAAATTCTGAAGCTTAAAATGTAAAACGCATTTTCCAGCTGCACAGATAGAACAGTGAGTGTCTGGCTCACTCATTGGCGTGCTGCGGCAACTGCACATCCAATGGCACGGGCGCCTCCAACGTGTGCGCCAATGAGCTAGCATTACATCAGACACGTCAGAGCCCGCCAAGGGGGCGTGGCCAGACGCCCTCGAAATAGTAGTAGGCTAGCAGCAGCAGTTTACCACAGCAACGCTCGCTCGGAGCGTTCAATGTCGGTTCTATATACTGTAAAACTTCAATTAATGTTAATAATATTTGTTTCAATCACCGAATGAAGTCTGCTATATTTAGGACAAGAGTCGCGACCTTACATTGCTTGCACAAAACTCTTGATCAGCACTAAACATTTGTTTATTGTTGTTCATTTAAACCGTTATGCGCAGAGAGCGTGAGGGCGAGAAAGAGAGAGAGAAAGAGTGCCTGCGAGTGCGAGCGAGAGTAAGGTCTGTGGTCTTGGCCATTAGTTGATTTACTTGTTTTTGTGTAAGTTAATACGTTGTCAAATATGTTTAAACTTAATTAAACTACCTATACAAGTAGTTGTGTCTCTTTGTATTAATTTGTCCTGTTATTGACGTAATGCGCGTCATTGACAAAATGCGCAACCAGATATTCGAATAGTTCGAATATATGTGGTTTTTTTAGAGGGAATATTCGAACGTCATTTTTGAGCAATTTTGACAGCCCTAATAGAGACATACTACACTGAACAAAATTATAAACGCTTATGCAACACTTTTGTTTTTGCCCCCATTTTTCATGAGCTGAACTCAAAGATCTAAGACTTTTTCTATGTACACAAAAGGCCTATTTCTCTCAAATATTGTTCACAAATCTGTCTAAATCTGTGTTAGTGAGCACTTCTCCTTTGCCGAGATAATCCATCCACCTCACAGGTGTGGCATATCAAGATGCTGATTAGACAGCATTATTATTGCACAGGTGTGCTTTAGGCTGGCCACAATAAAAGGCCACTCTAAAATGTGCAGTTTTAGGCCCCGTCCACACTACTGCGTTTTCGTTTTAAAACGGAGACCTTTTGCTACGTTTGCACCTCCCGTCCACACTAAAACGGCAAAAATGGAGACCCAAAACGGAGAAGTTTAGAAACGCTGCCGACCCGTTTTTCGCTTTGAATCTCCGGAGGGCGTTTTAGTGTAGACGGTCTAAAACGGAGGACTTTAGAAACGATGACGTAGTAGAGGCTCACGCTCGGCTCTATGATTGGGTGTCATCAGTCATGGCGTATATCTTTTCTAGCAGCTGTTGTACAAGTAAATTCTGCATTTTACAACGCTATAACTGCCTACATGCGCCGGAGTCAAGCTATTATTCGAGCGATCTGTGACAATACCCGTGTGCAGCGGCGGCGTTGACCGTACATGGAGCGTCGGTTTGGGGTTAACCCAGAGCATGGTGGGATAATTTTATCAATTAAGTTGTTTACACCGGCACGTGCATGCCCAGTGTTGGTGAATGGTCACGTGATCCGCGTTTTCAGTCGTTTTAATGTGGACGGAGATCAATTCTAATACGCAGCTAAAACCCTGGTGTGGACGGAGATCGTATTCGTTTTAATTATCCGTTTCTAAACGAAAACGCAGTAGTGTGGACGGGCCTTTACTGTATTGGGGGGGTCCGACCCCCCCCCCCGTCCCCGTAAAAACAAAAAAGTTGTTGATTGTGGCCTGTGGAATGTTGGTACACTCCTCTTCAATGGCTTTGCGAAGTTGCTGGATATTGGCAGGACCTGGAACACACTGTCGTATACGCTGATCCAGAGCATCCGAAACACATTCATTCATGCTGACTGCAGGAGTGTCCAGCAGAGTTGTTGCCCGTGAATTGAATGGTCATTTCTCTACCATAAGCCCCCCCGGACCCCCCCCCCAACACAGATTTAGACAGATTTGTGAACAATATTTGAGAGAAATAGCAAATAGCCCTTTTGTGTACATAGAAAAAGTCTTAGATCTTTGAGTTCAGCTCATGAAAAATGGGGGCAAAAACAAAAGTGTTGCATTTATAATTTTGTTCAGTGTAAATGCAAATTTTGCCTAAATTATTATGTTTGTTGCTCTCTCAACATGTAACACATTACCTGAGTGAACTTGCAGTTTGACTGGTGTTTAATTAGGTGTTCAAGCACGAAGTGCTGAAAACCTATTGTAATTGTAAGGATTTTTATTATTATTAGTGGTGCTTGCTGAAAGCAAGGCAACACTATTGTTATTGTCCATACTTATTAGTGGTGCTTGCCTATGGCAAAGCAACACTAGTGTTATTGTGCATACTTATTAGTGGTGCTTGCCAAAGGCAAAGCAACACTAGTGTTATTGTGCATACTTATTAGTGGTGCTTGCCTATGGCGAAGCAACACTATTGTTATCTCACATACTTATTATTATTCTTCTTATTATTATTCTTCTGGCCACTTTTTGACGCGCTACTCCTCCCGCAGTTTTTGTCACAGACCCATGAATGAGGTGTCAAAACGTGCGGCCTGTTCGGGAATGGTGTGCTATGACTTTTCTAAGAGATCGGGGGTACGATGGTCGCCCCAGGGGCGAAAAACGGCCCAAAAAAATCCCATAGACTTAACATTGCGTCAAACTTTGACGAGTCGTAGCTCGGAACGAGGATGTCGCAGAAACGTGAAATTTGCCACATTTGAAGAGGCTGACAGACTCTGTAAGAACATACCACACAATGGGGTAAAAGTTGCACCCCTGAGGGGCAGGAGCTGCCCAAAGTTTCCCCATTGACTTACTATGGTGTAGGACGGCCCATGAAATGGGCCGTCCTACACCATAGAAACCGCTTTTATATTGAAC